CAATTGGCTTCATTAAGCAATTCATGAATGGGGCAGCATCCCATCCAGCAAGAAGAGAGATACTCTGAGGAGGTGTACAAAAGGGAAAATTTTTACAGACAGAAGGAGGGTGGGGCAAGGAAGTTATCAGCAAAAGAAAAGAAAGGATTATTGTAGGCCAGGACATCTTCCTTTGGCATTTGGCGGGAAGGGAAGGGAAGGCAGGGGTTTTGTCATGCAGATTACCTCACTAACGCTAATCAGGAAATTTCAGATTGTTGAAAAGTTACATTTCTGGGAGAGGTTGAAATTGCAATGGAGTCTTGATTTGCTGTTGTGGAGACAAAAGACTCCGTTTTGTGCCTGTGCTTTTTTAACACTACAAAGTATAGGCAGAAAAGAGACCCAAGGACTAAGCTTTAGGGAACTCCAACATTTAGAAGTCAGGGGAATGATGAGAAATAAACAACTGAGACCGCGAATAAGTGACATTATGGTGAAGCAGGAAGAAATTAGGAACACTGTGATACCAGAAGCCAAGCAAAGAACTTGTTTCAAGAAGAAGGAATGACCCAACTGATATTATCTGGGGAGATAACACATGCACTGAGACCTCAGGGTTTGACTAGGCAATGTGGAAGTCACTGGTGACCGCAGGAGGAAGTGTTCCAGTGAGGTCACAGACAGGAAAACATTATTGGACTAGGTTTAAGAAAGAATGCAAGAAGTAAAAACTACTTTTTGTAGCTTTGTTAAACACTGAACAGAGAAACAGGGTGATAGCTGGAAGGAGAGGTAGGGCCAAAGGTTATTTATTTATTTATTTTTTGAGGAAGATTAGCCCTGAGCTAACTGCTGACAATCCTCCTCTTTTTGCTGAGGAAGACTGGCCCTGAGCTAACATCCATGCCCATCTTCCTCTGCTTGATATGTGGGATGCCTGCCATAGCATGGCTTGTCAAGCAGTGCCATGTCCGCACCCAGGATCCGAACCAGCAAACCCCGGGCCACTGAAGCAAAACGTACGAACTTAACCACTGCCCCACCAGGCCGGCCCAACATATTTGTATTTTGATGGGACCACATTGTGAGAACTGCTGACCTACAGTAATCAGTTCTAAACGGAAAATGAAGCTGGAGATGAATACAGAATAAGTTTTCTTTAATATGGACTAAAAAAGCTAAAGTGTATAAAATCAAAGCCAAGGATAGGCCAAGCACAGAATTATCCACAAACTTACAGTATACTTAGAACTAGGCTACCTAAGAATCACCCAAAAGAAGCATTAGAGTATGAACTGTAAAGTATTAAATTCACTACTTTGTGAGATACACTAAATAAAGCAGTACACTTTTGGAATATGCTACCCTAAAATGTAAAAAAATATATACTTTGTAATTTTTCCAAAAATAGACTATTTCAGATAAAAGTTTGAACAATCAATTCTTCTAGAAAAGATTTAAGGCACATTATGTTAAAAAATTCACATACTTTAGGGGCCGGCCCGTGGCCCAGTGGTTGGGTTTGCACACTCCACTTCGGTGGCCCAG